ATCTTAATCACCAAAGTTTAAAGTATTTTTTCCAAATTTCGTCTCTGTAGCATAAATAAGAGGAAAGCTACCCTTCAGCGCAACATGTATCTTTGTTTCTCTTTCTGGAATATCAATTATTTCATTACCTACTTTGGCAGTCAGTGATTTAATCCCTTGAAAACCATCAATTAAGTCGTGTATGGTACCAATTTCATAATCTCCATTCGCGATACTCACTACAGTTCAGGCACAAATATTATACAGAAATAAAACTAATCAACAATAATAATTAATATTATTCGACTGCCACACTGTCAGTCGCATTATAATACGACGGATTTCATCTAGTCAGATTCTAATGCAGTTTCATTTAAACAATAAGACTAACACGCAGCAGGCGTATTATAATACGACTGAAATTACTAGTCTAATTGTAAAATTCTTAAGTATTTGGGTAGTATTACGATATGCCTAGTCTTATTGAAAAAGCCTAGGCGTATTATAATAAGACTGATTTTACAATAAGCCTGCGACATATATAATCGATATGGCACCATGTTATGTTCAACCAAAAGACAAATATTCATGTACCATTAATGTAACTTTGTGATATATTACCAAAAGACAAAATGTTCATGTGCCATTAATGTAACTTTGTGATATATTACCAATATTGCAATATTATGTACTAAGTACATACAATTCAACTATTTTGGCGCTCTTCTGTGACAGATGAATGTTTTAATATTTGTTTCTAATACAGTGATGCCAGACTACTGAATGTACCCCTAGTTCTAGAGATATTTACAATACTCTACTGTCCTATAGGGATTTCTCGTATCAGCGAGTTGGCAACACTTCCGCTATTCGGTTCTATTATTCTGTTGATTATAAAAATGGACTGAACTGAAGCCATTTTCTTACGCCGGTGTCTGTTGTTTTGACTCTGTTTTGTTTCCTTTTATGTTTGAAAATTATAAGTAGGTATTTTTAATTTTTGTTATGAACTGGGATTAGTGCTGCATACGAATTTGTTGGAACCTATGGTAAGTATATTTGGTACCGATCGATATAGTTATTTACCTAACAAATGCGGAAAGTGATACTTTACCGCACGCAACGGCAGTTGACCGAACGACGCGGAGCGGAGTTCGGTCAAGCCGTTAAGGGCGGTAAAGGCACTTTCCGCATGTGTTAGGTACAACATTTTACCTATGAGCATCTACATCTCTAAAAAAAGGCATTGATAAAATTAATTATTGAATCAGATTAATTAATGAAATTAGATTAGATATATACATGATCAAAAATCCATTTTCTGAAAAAGAAAGGATTTCTGATTAAAAATATCAAATTTTATTTTACCGCAAAATATGCGGTAAAGTGCACTTTACCGCACACTTTGTAGTCCACTTTACCGCATACTATGCTGTAAAGTTCACTTTACCGCACACTATGCTGTAAAGTTAACTTTACCGCATAGTGTGCGGTAAAGTGCTACTACTTTCCATTTGCAAATACGTGCGGTAAAGTGCACTATGGCCATAAATGAACACAAGTCACGAACGCACCCAAGCAGGTTGACATTGTTGACAAAATTTTGGGGATTCTCTGGAGCCATGTTTTTTGGCGTGTCCCATGCACACATTATTTTTTTAAGGCTTGAAATAAACGTTTTTCGGCGGGTACTCGAAAAAAAAAATTGTTTTTGAGGACTTAAAATACACGTTTTTGGGCGTTGCACCTGAAAAATTTTTCGCTTCTATACGTATTTCTCATATGGGTATTTTGGGAATTTTTATTTTGCAAATTGAGTATTTCAATCAATTCCAAAAGGTTGGCAACACTGATAGTGTCAGTATCAGTAACAGTAAAATATTAAAACACGGCCGACCGTAAAGCCATTTATGTCCGATTGACCAATAAAGTGCTATTTATAGAACAGTTTTGCGTCAATAAAGTAGTACTTTATTGTACTAGTAAAATAAAGTGCTACTTTATTGCCTACCTGGACTGCCTGACAACGTGAAACAGGTCCTGACAACCTGCCAAGGATAAACAGGTCCTGACAACCTGCCAAGGTGAAACAGGTATTCCTATGCGAATTTTACTTTTTTCATTAAATTTTTTCAATTTTCAATAAAAACCAGTTGTAATCGTACATAAAATCAAGTATATAACGCTTACATAAACAGGCTTTATTGACTCATTTTTTAATAGCCTCGCTCGGCCATAAAATTATTCGTTTTACTTTATGTACTTGTTATATAAATAGCTATTATAGTTCACTCACCAAACTTATCAGTAAAACTTGAGAAATGGTTATTTTCATATCTGTTCTTAAGTTTTAAGTTACTGTTATTAGAGACTTTTTGCACCTCTTATTTTGCCATCTCGCTGTGGTTATCGTTATACTGAGTATGCGCAGTAGCAAAAAAATGTTCGTTGTACTTATCAACCATAACGAACGGCCTTATTTAAGGAGGAATAACCTTGTGCTCATAACTATACCTATGTTATGGTAAACCTGTGTGGATGGTGGATGCCACATTGAAGAAAAATGAATAGATGTAATCCGGTTTTAATAAATAATTAATTAAAATCATCTGAAATTCTGAAAAATTGTTGGTTAACATCCGAAGGCGCAGGCGCAGTTCATGGTCCAGAGGCAAAATGAAATAACGGAAATATGTAAACGTTTGGCGTTGCAAAATCTCTGATTTTGAAGGTGGTGGTAATCGTTATCGTCGATAAAGGTAACCATAACTGATCCAAAAACAGCTATTATTTCAAGGGGTGCCCAAAGTCTCTATTGTTACTGCTACTGACACTATAAATCCAGCTTATAATCGCCGGAATATAAAATATTGTATGAAATTCGGATCATAAACAATCATTATGATCCTTATAACATAAATATCTATTATGATCATATTACACACACCACTAACTACTTTTGTTGGTCACAGGTACAGGGTTCAGTTTTGGCTTTTTAGAGAGCTCATTCAAAAGCTTGTGCCAATTCCAATGGCCACAACTGTGGTGAAGTATTTTTCACAACAAATGGTTGAAGTCTTTTTAACTACCTGGGACCCTGGGACATTTTACAAGAGCTCGGTCATGGTAATACAATGGGAATACGAATACACCCAGTTTTATTGTAGTCGAAGTTGAATAACTCGATACCAATTAGGTATTATAAAAACAACTTTACCCATTTAATTTAGGGTATGACTATGGTATGTTATGTGTTAGTAGTTATGTATGGATATTCCTATTCCAGTATGATATTGGCTCTTTAGGCGGTTACACACGGACGTGGATGTCTGAAAACATGTACGCACATACATGAACGCGCAAACAAAAACATCAATGTGTATGCAAAATACCGTCGCGTTTTTGAATGTGCAAACTACTGCAAACTGTAGAATGACGCTCAAATGAATTCTGGAATCGCTAGAAATTTTGTATGCACACTCGGAATACTGTGGGAGGAGTAGCAAGACTGACAGTTTTGTACGAGCGTCTGTACAAAGGTGACATGCACGTTGTTGTTTGCACGTTGATGTATGCACGTATATGTATCAAGTTATCCACGTCCGTGTGTAACCGTTACACACGGACGCGGATGTCTGAAAACATGTACGCCGAGATGTACGCACATACATGAACGCGCAAACAAAAACATCAATGTGTATGTAAAATAATGTGGCGTTTTTGAATGTGGAATCGCTAGGAATTTTGTATGCATACTCGGATTACTGTAGCAAGAATAGCAAGACTGCAGTTTTGTGCGAGCGTCTGTACAGGGTGTCCGAATTTGGATGGTTTTAATAGGAAACGTCAATTTCTGAGCGAGATACAAAAAAATGAGCCCCCCTCTCCGAGGCTCAAATTTCTTGAAATTTTGATTGGTGCAAACCGCATTTTGATATCTTCAACCGTTTAGCCGCTAGAGGGCGATTCTCGATTTTGAGCAATACTGTGAAATCTTCATAACTTTTTTGTTTATAAAAATAACTGATTTCTGTAAAAACTTCCTAGAAGCACTTTTTCAAGCAGAATTCAGTGACGTTTTCAGTTTTTTTCTATTGGGCTTCGATTTCAAGATTTTGACCAAAATCCGATTTTTTCCAATGGGACACCCTATATATTAATAGCTCATTAGAAAGCTCTGCTTTTGCTGATTACAATGATAAAAAATTCGATAGGTTTATCTCTAACAGTTTTTGAGAAAAAAAAATATTTCGGCTTTTGTCATAAGAAAGAATGAGTTAGAAAGAGACCTTTCTCAGTTTCCTTACAGATATAAAGTCCTTTTCTTACACATTACTTCTTATGACAAAAACCGAAATAATTTTTTTTCTCGAAAACTATTAGAGATAAACCTATCGAACTTTGTATCATTGAAATCAGAAAAAGCCGAGCTTTCTAATGAGCTATTAATATATAGAGTGTCCTATTGAAAAAAACCAGACTTTGGTCAATATCTCGGAGTTGGGACCAACTAGAAAAAAACTGAGAACGTCACTGAATTCTGCTTGAAAAAGTGCTTTTAGAAAGTTTTTACGGAAATCAATAATTTTCATAAACAAAAAAGTTATGATCGGTTATGATGGTTTCACATTATTGCTCAAAATCGAGAATCGCCCTCTAGCGGCTAAACGGTTGAAGATATCAAAATGCGGTTTGCACCAATCAAAAATTCATGAAATTTGAGCCTCGGAGTGGAGGGTTCATTTTTTTGTATCTTGCTCAGAAATTGATGTTTCCTATTAAAAACGCGAAATGCACGTTGTTGTTTGCACGTTGATGTATGCACGTATATGTATTAAGCCATCCACGCCCGTGTGTAACCGCCTTTTAATAGTTTGTACTTGAAAAAGAATAATGGTGACGTGACCTAGAAGTATAGGTAAAGTTGTTTTGTGGTATAGGCAAATATCAAAGTAGGTCTGACTGACTTTTATTTTATTTTACAATGGTTCCAATTAAAATAAATGTCATGCATTACATACTTGAATTCTTGGATGAACCTCATCTTCGCTTTCTGTTTCCGAAGCTTCGCCACTAATAACCAAAGAATTATTCATTATACATTAATTTTTTACAGAAATTACCAATGTTTTGAGACTTGTTTTGAGAACTTATTTTTGTTTTGTTTACGTTTATGATTTTAGGATTGATGAACTAGAGGAGGGCTTATCGATATGTATCGATAATAAGGATCTCACAAAATTCTCATTGAACATCATTCGCATTCGTTAGGTCATTATTATCCGAGGCTGTATCAACAACTACTGCTCATTAATATAATTTATGAATATAAAATTTTAAATTGTTTTTTTCTATTTTGGTGTCATATCGAAGTCTTTTCGACAATAAAAGTAGTTTCGAAAAGAAGCTCTTTGTGACACTCCTTTTTTACTTATCGGAGGTTGGTAACACTGGCTGACTGATGGCCATCGAACTGTCATTCACCATAAAAAATAATAGAATTCTATATTTGGCATGTAGTGTTACCAACCTGAACATATGAAATCAGGACATATGAGAATAAAATTTCCAAGAAAAGTTTTTTTTTTTTAAATTAAACAATACCAAAATAGAAAAAATAGTATAAAATATTCGTTTCATAAGACATTTTATGAAACTTGTATTTTAATGTACTATTGTTTGGTCCTACTTCTAAATCCAGTCAGTCTAATCATAAAAAAATCTGAAATATGAAATACCTATGGTATCGAAAGCTATTGATATTTCCTAAAGGTAGTTTTGAGAGAGTATCGTATCGATAGCTATTGATATCGATAATTCGATGACGTAAACAAAAACCATACAAAAATTATCTTTCTCAAGTACCAGAAAACAGTGGCGTCGCGTGGGGGGGGGGGTAATGCGGGTAATTACCCCCCCTGACGCTTTATTTTCTTCGCAAAGGAAATAATTGTTCTGGAAAAGTGAATGACCTTGAAATTTGCAAAAAAATTTGGCTTGCGCCGCGTTAGCGGGGGGTCGCATCTTCTCATTACCCCCCCCCCCCCCCCAGACTACAAGTCACGCGTCGCCACTGCCAGAAAATCGCCTCAAAATATCAAAAAACACACAGAAAACAGCTAGATATTTTTAAAATCCCCGTCCAGGATACAATACCGGCTGACCACGGCCACGAGATTACTGACCAAGCTCTAGTTCAGGCATGAATATCAATATCGATTTCAAGTTTTGAGGATGTATATTATTGATATCGATGCAGAATTTCGCTATAAAAACAATCGACTATCGCTTTTGGTTTGACCGCAAGTGCCATCAACTTCTTTATTTCAACTAGATCACCCCCTATATTATTACATTTTTGGATTCTATGAGAAATTCTAAGCATATTTTATGTATAATATCCTATACCTAACTTTAAGAGTTTTCAAGAAAATCGCGATTGAAAATGTCAAAAAATAATTTTCATTTTAGTTTTGACAGCAAACAATGGAAAGAAGGTTGAAGCTTTTACGATATTTTTAACTCATTTTAGAAGCACTAAAGGGTCCCACAACAAAAATAAAACTTCCGGTTCAATCGAAGGTTTTCGGTCGATCTACTTTTGAGCAATAATTTCAATGGTATACCATACTTAGAACTGAAAATTCGTATTCTAAGAACAATTTTGAATCTTTTTTATGTATGCTTTCCGCTTTCCTATACCTAAAGTCTACTGTTTTTGAGATATTTGACACTTGATGTAAGGATGTCTTTGGAACAACGAATACCAAAAACAGTATTAACAGCATTAATTTTAATCCTTTTTATAAGTTTATTTAAATAGATCACACAGAATGCAGTTTAAAAGATAAGTCTCATTTGTTGTGTTCCTTGAATCCCGATTTGCACTGTTACCCAAAGGTCGCAAATAGTCCAAAAAGTTAGGGACGCAAACGTGAACAATACAAACGTGAACAATACTGTAAAATATCTCAAAAACAGTAGACTTTAGGTATAGGAAAGCGTATACAAAAAAGATTCAAAATTGTTCCTAGAATACGAATTTTCAGTTCTAAGTATGGGATACCATTGAAATTATTGCAGTAACATAACCTCAAAAGTAGACCGACCGAAAACCTTCGATTGAACCGGAACTGATATTTTTGTGGTGGGACCCTTTAGTGCTTCTAAAATGAGTCAAAAATATCGTAAAAGTTCCAACCTACTATCCATTGTTTGCTGTCAAAACTAAAATAGAAATTATTTTTTGCCATTTTTAATCGCGATTTTCTTGAAAACTGTTTAAGTTAGGTATAGGATATTATACATAAAATATGCTTAGAATTTCTCATAGAATCCAAAAATGTAATAATATAGGGGGTGATCTAGTTGAAATAAAGAAGTTGATGGCACTTGCGGTCAAACCAAAAGCGATAGTCGATTGTTTTTATAGCGAAATTCTGCATCGATATTCATCCTCAAAACTTGAAATCGATATTGATATTCATGCCTGAACTAGAGCTTGGTCAGTAATCTCGTGGTCACCCGGTATGTCAGTTGGTGACACCAGTGGCGGACCTAGGACCTCCGGGGCCCGACGCAAAAAAAATTTTCGGGCCCTGTCATGCTTTTTTTAGGTATTTTTCTTGTGATGTTGGGGTGTGAGGTGAGTGTAAGAAAGTTATCTATATTTTGTAAACAAAAAGAAATACAACATAGTAGAATTCGAAAAAATAGTTCATGGCTCAAAGAGACCTGTGTTCCATTATACAATGTGAAGAAAAACACCAAGTCGTGGTCTCAAAATTTTAACATAAGGGTATACTTGCCATGCCACGAAACAAATGGCATTTCCGTTTGATAGATCTAGTGCGGAACTAGTGCAATTTTTTCTATTTCTGTCTTTTTCTTCTACAGGTCGATTAAAAGGATGCAAATACACTCAGTGCGCACTGAATCTACCAATCGGAAACGCCAAAAATTTCGTTTTTTTGGTATTTTGTATCTGCCTATTGTACCTTGTATTTGTCAGTGCTTTCTTCAGCCTTCATAGATCTTTATGGCGCCAATATGCTTGTTGTTTGACCGTAGCCGCCATTTTGATTGGACATTTTTTCCAAATGAAATGCAATTCAAGATTTAAGGCAAAGGAAAAGTAATACTTTATTTCAACACGATAATACAAAAATACAAAAAAAAACGAGATTCAAGAAGCTGCATTCGGTACCAAATAAAGAAGCGAACAAAGCTCATTGTAGCCTTTACAATCGAAGTCTTCATTGTCGAAGCAAACAAATTCGCGGGCCTCGATTTCCGTACCAGTTGAATGTCCAGATACCTGAAGGAAAAATTAATTTCTATATTTGTAGCTTGATACAGGGATTTATACCTACCTCAATCCAACCTCTCATAGGCGAATTAATGGGTGTGTCAGGGATAATTTTCACAACAAGCCCATCGGTTGATTCTATAGTGAAATGCATTCCATTCGCATCTAGATCGCGTACCCTTCCAATAATGCTGACTGGCTTACCAGAGAACCGGGGCAGCATTGCGCCGTTGACAATATCTTTAGGCATTAGAAAATTCATTTTTAATTCGGTTTTTAATAGAGAATAATCTGTTCTTTGTTGTTTATTTGTCTGCGCTTACAGTTAATTCACTCGCATAACCTGAAAATATTGGTCAAATCAAATTTCAAATTAGCCTCTTCTTTTTTTTTACGAGTGGCAGGGCAGTAGCTGTTCGAACAGATCGAACGGTTAGAGCAGATAGAACAGTTCGAGTTCAAACAGATAGAACAGTCAGAGCAGATATTATCAGCACACATCGGTGTGCTGGCAATCATTTCTACACAAATGTACCAGACATAAACTCTCCCCTTACATTCGTCAATTGCGGAGGTGCACATCCGGCCAATTATAGAAATTGTCCGAAGTGTCCAAACAGAAATGTCTCTTCCACCCCCCAAACCAACACCAAAAGCTCTTCTCCCCCAAGGGACACGGCAGCTTTATTTTACAGTGACTCTATACAAAACAGTGGCGACAATAGCGCCTAAGCTCCGCCCACCCACCATGTTTTGTCAAACTCAGTCAATAATGTAAAGTCCGTTTTTTTTTTAAAGATAATTCCCCAAGTCAAAAATTTAGTAACTATGTTGGCAGCACAAGCCTTTTATACATAAAAAATTTGAAAGCATTGACAATTTTACATTGTATTGCCAACATAATGTCACTTTGACTTTTATCTTTAAATAAAAAACAGATTTTATTTGTTTTTTCTTTTCTTTCTGTTCTGACTTTTTATCACAAGAAAGTCAATAACAGGCACAAATAACAAAAACAAAATTATATTAACACAAAATTGCTTAAATCTCCATAGGATCAAATGGTTTTACAGAAATAACTTTAGCGCCTAAGCTCCGCCCACCCGCCATGTTTTGTCGAACTCATTCAATAATGTATTTGTTTTTTCTGTTCTAATTTTTACTCACAAAATAGTCAATAACATGTACAAATAACAAAAACAAAAAGATATTGACACAAAATTGCATAAATCTCCATAGAACCAAACGGTAAACACAAATAACTTTCGACAAAACATAGCCGATATTCTGCAGCCAATCAAAAATGAGTCCCTCTATTGTCACCACTGTCTTGTATAGAGGCACTGTACTTTACTTGAAATTACAACCCCATCTGTGAGCTACGCTCAAAAAATGAAATTGAATACCGACAATACCAATAACAGTACTAATACTAAAACCACCTCAACAACAACTAAACTTGACTAACAACCCCATTTTGAGTCTCTTGACTCTTTCAGAGCAAGAGATTTCAAATAAACTGAACAGACTGGCTGAGATGATTAATAATCATCCTAGCCTCAAACTTTTAACACAACTAAAGGTACGGTTTGTTAGGAGAGTACGCGTCGCACAACTGACAACGTTAACGTCGTCATTGGTTCAGGTATGACCATAGGTATGACGTACACCCGTTTTCTCACGTCAGAAGACTGGTCTACGTCATACCTGAACCAATGACGACGTTTACGTGAATGCCATAAAATAAAAACTTTGAGGACGTCTGACCCCCTCTTTGCAACGAACTAGACGTCTGACGATTTACATACGTTATCTGTGACCTTCAAACAGATAATGTGCAAAATTTCTATAAATTTTGAGCTTTGAGAAAACAGTTTAGATGCTTCTTAAAATTACAACTTTGCCCGCGTCCCAGAGCCAGCTGTCCCGGAACTGTGAGTGCTGACTGTACACTAGCATTCTAACAATAAAGTACGACCTATTTTGAAAATATCCGCCTTGCGAAAACTCTTGCATGTTTTTGACGCCAGCTTCCCAACTAATCGTTTAATTTCAACTGGAAACTCGGGTAATCTGACTTTACCACATTGGCAACACTGCGGGGGCGACTGAACACCGGAGCGAGTAGCTCGAGTGTTTCAAACTCTTGAAAGGAATACAACTAATGCCTCTTCTCACTTGCGTCAAAAAAAGATCGAATTTCGCACAACTGTACTGCGAATTAAGCATGAACCCTGCGCCAACAATGTCTTTCTACCCCCTTATTTTTGTTTGAAGATGACAAAGATGTGTTCATAAGTCAGAACTTTGTTTAAATATTTTTTATTTTTTGGACTATCGGATTGCCGAATCCTTGCTGACTATTCACCGAAATATCGAACGCACGTGATTGGTGGTGACGTCTGTCGCAGTCCTTGACAAATGGTTGGCGTTGGTGTGTACTGTGTGGATCTCATGGATACATTTGTGTTGATTGTAGATTCTTGTATTTCTGTGAAATACTTTGGAAAAAGTAGTATTTTTGAGCTTAGCAGAGACTTTTAAAGTTTGTGTGATTGGCTGATCCTCAACCGTGTTTTTGGTAAAGGTAAATCTCAAAATACACACAAATAATATTAAAATAAGCATACATTCCTTTTAGCTTTTTTTAATTCAACAAATAGGTACTATATCTATAAAACAGATATGCCAGGAACGAGATGTGCTGTGTATGGGTGTAGTAATAACTATTTTGCTCAAAAAAAGAGCACTCGGAAATATAGTATGCATCGCTTTCCTAAAGAAAAAGACCTTGCATCTAAATCTATTCGGAACGAGTGGATACTTCGATGTAAAAGAAAAGACAAACTTAATCCAGATACAAGTTACATCTGCTCAGCCCATTTTACTGAGAATGATTACGAAAGAGACTTACAAAATGAGTTATTAGGTAATTTTTAATGTTATTGTCATTTATATAATCCCCATGAAATATTTTAAATTTTAGGTCGCCCTTTGAAAAGGGTTTTAAAAAAGACCGCTATTCCTAGATTATTATTATATAATGAAAAGCCACTAACAGTAACAGAAGCCTCGACCGAAGCAACATTATCTAGATCTGAAAGACTTCACCTAAAACATTCCAAGCAGGAAGCTCAGCGGATAGTGTCTGAGCCATCTCCAGAACCCCAAGAAATAAGTTACAAAGCCTCGACTGAAGCAACATTATTAAGATCTGAAATATTTCACTCAAAAAATGCTAAGCAGGAACCTCAGCAAATAGTGTCCGAGTCATCTCCAGAACCCCAAGAAAAAAGTTACATAGCAAAGTATACGGATTTGTTGGCTAATTTTAATGATTTAAATAGGAACTATTCCTTGCTAGAAGCTAGGTATATTAAAACTAAAGCTTCTTGTATTAAAATGATTAAAGAAAAAAAAAGTCTTAGTGACCAACTAAGATATTATAAAACTAAGTATTATAAATCCCGGAAGTCTGAATTAACTGAATGAAACAAATCAGCTTTTGTGATTTTATTAAAGCCTGTATCAAAATAATAGTTATTTATACATCAAGTGAGTTAAATGAATGTTTATTCATGAGAAGAAAGTTTAACCCAGGAGCCCTAGCGAGTGGGCTAATTTTCTTCGAATGAATAAATATTTTAACTCATGTGATGTATAAAATTTTTTATCCCATTTTGATGGACATTTGAAAAAGAATAGGAATCAAATTATAAAATGAATTCATTTAGTAGTATATGAAAGCGCTTATTATTGAAATTGGTGGTTGCTATAGTGACCGAGAGTGGGTTAAAAATATTTTAAATCACTCAGGTGATAAAACGTCTACTTACCTTTGCTATATACAGGGTGGTCCATTTAACTTGAGACAGTCTTATAGCTCGGAAACGGTGCGTTTTTGAAAAAAAAAGTTTAAACAAGTTACATGGTATCATGGGGGAAACAAAATGGCGGCACTGATTTTTGACATTGACAACGTTTTCAAGGTTTGTCAAGGTCAACTTTTTTTTCCAATGGAAACTTATTTTTTTTTATTACAGAATCTTATTCTACGGAAAAAAAACAAGTAACTTTTACTTGAAGCATTTTTCGATCCAGTTTCAATTTAAGCTGATAAAAAAGAACGAATCGATTTTTTTTATTTTCCCCCTCACAAAATCTAAAAGTAGAGAAACATTACCATAGTAAAAAACTGCCTCAAAAACTATAACAATTGTTCAAAGCGATGTCCGCCAACTTCAACACACTTGTCAATTCGCTGTAAAAAGCTTTCATGGCACCAAATTAGAGTTTCTTTACTGACAGCTCTAAGCATTTCTTATGCATGCCATCATATTTCCGGTGTTGTGGGAACCTCTTGATAATAGCCGGAAAGCCAGCACCGAAAAAATTCTCTGAATTTACTAAAGCCAGTTTTTGGTCAGTTGATAATAATAATAATAATAATATTCTTTATTTCAAATCATCATTACATTACAGGTGCAACAAAGAAAGAAATGACGTCATACATACAAGTAAATACTAGGTATCGGTACATTAAGTTAAAGGTCTCTACAAAATTCTCTTAAATTATAGGGTTCTAGGTCAACTAACAGTTTTTTGATTTCTCGTTTGAATATTTTTTGGGATTTAATTTTTTTCATATTTTCTGGCAGAGCATTGAACAATTTTAGGCACATATAATGAGGACACTTTTCTGTTAATGTAAGTCTATGTAATGGGTAGCTAACATCCAAGGTTCGCGTGTTGTAGTTACATTGTTGGCCAATATCAAAACTGTCTTTGTATTTAAAAAAGAACATTAGACATTCATAAATATAAATTCCATATTTTTTTTTTTTTTTTTTTTACGGATATGCGCACTCGCAAGGACAATGTCCTATCACGCTCGAGAAGCGGCAAGTGCGCGGAAATGTCGGTGTATGTTGGTCTTGAAACGGTTCAGGTTGTAACCTGCAGGGAAAACCGTCGCAGGGAGTTTATTCCACAGCGATGCTGTTCTCCAGAGATATGAATTCTGATATAGTGAGGTTCTTGGTGCCTCTAGTTTGACAGTAAATTCATGGTTACCGTCTGTTTGACGCGTTCGCCTGGTAGGTGCTACTCTCGGTGGAATCATACGTGCCAACTCTTCAGAGCATTTTCCGTGATAGTACCTGTAGAAGAGAGATAAATCGCCCACAGATCTGCGATGTTCGAGACCATCCAAGTTACGAGTAAGTGCGGGGTCATTGATCAGCTTGATAGCTCGTTTTTGCACGGTATTCAAAAGCATTAAGGTATGTTTGGGTGCAGCACTCCATATATGTGAGCAGTACTCCATAGTTGGTCGAATCTGGGCTTTGTAGAGTGTCAGCAATTGGCTTGGTGTGTACAGATGTCTTGTACGAAATAGCACCCCCAGCTTTTGGGAGGCCCTTTTAGCAATATCTGCCACGTGACTGTGCCAAGACATGTTGGTCTCTGCAGTAACCCCCAAGATGTTCAACTGACTCTGTAATGTGACAGCACTTCCAGATAGCATGATGTTTGGCTCACCGGTGCTGGTCTTTTTGAAAACAGAGCTGCTTGGGTTTTCTGCGCATTGAACTGTACAAGGTTTTTGTTACCCCAGTCCTCTATTATCTCCAGGTCGTTATTTATCTGCGATATTTGAGTTAGTCTAAGATGATGGAATTCACGTGCGGAAAGCCCTGTGGGTGGTATGAGTGAGGAGACTACATTACCATCGTCTGCAAAGCAATAAAGTGGATTTACTGTTTTATCTATGAGGTCATTTATGTAAATCAGGAAAAGAGTTGGCGAAAGGATTGCTCCCTGTGGCACACCAGCATTTATTTGGTAAGAGTTGGAGTTCTGGCCATCCAGTGCAACATAAATGGATCTGTCCTTATTATTAATTCCATATAGGGTCATTATTTCTAGATTTTTAAATTTTGTCTTGCAACTCTCCAAGTACCCACTGTTAGTGATTACTCTTATCAACCTTTTTTGAACTACAAAAACACTCTGAACTTGACTATCCCTTCCCCAAAAAATAATACCATATTTTAAGACGGATTCAAAATTTGCAAAATACAGCATCCTGAGTGTCCTCTCATTCATATATTTGCCAATGACCCTTATCCCGTAGCATATTGAGTTCAATTTTTTAATTAAAAAATTAATATGGTGTGCCCAATTTAAATTTTCGTCAATATAAATGCCTAAAAACCTTGCATTGTTTGATAGCTCCACTTTTTTATCATTCAGTTCTATAGTTTGTGGCTTTGCTGCTGTAGACTGCTTTGTTTTAAACATTAAAATATTTGTTTTTTCTTTATTTAATATCAATCTATTTTTATTGAACCATTCTGTGACTATATCAAAAAAATATTGTGACTGGGTTAGTAACTCTGGCATTTTTTTCATACCAATAAGTAGGTTTGTGTCGTCTGCATATTTCACAATATGTTGATAGGGCTTGTTTATTAAAAGGGGTAGGTCATTTACAAAAATTATGAAGAGAATTGGACCCAACATACTGCCCTGAGCTATGCCTATTTCATTATATAATATTTTTGACTGGTCAGTTTTCCCATCTTTTGTTATGCTGACACATTGTCTTCTGTTGTTTAAATATGAACTGAGCCACTCTTTTGCATTACCTCTGACTCCATACAGTTCTAATTTCTTAAGTAGTATTTCCCTATCTAGACAGTCATAAGCCTTTGATAAGTCGAGCAACATACCAAGCACCAACTCCCCATTTTCAATGTGAAATAAAATATGTTTAATAAGTTCAAATATAGCTGTTTGTGTCGATTTATCGTAGGTAATACCATAAGAGCTCAGATTTAGCCGGATATTTTTTGGCTTGGTCTCGAATACTTACTTTTAGGAAATTTAACGAGAGCTGTTCCGACAAAATCACGAGAGCGCAGCTCGAGTGATTTTGTGGAACAGATCGAGATAAATTGCATGAAAGTAAGTATAAGAGAGCAAGCAAAAAAATATCCTGCTCAAAATCTGAGCTCGAATGGTATTTAGTACGGCAATTCCACGAATGCATAATCAAAATAGAATATGGAAATACTTTTTAAAATGAACAGTTATTGAAGGTACAATTAGAATAAATATTTTGCCCCTTAAAATTTGACTCTACAGGAAGAGAAGAAGACTCTGTGTTCTCAGGAATTGAATTTTCTATTTCGCTATTAATTCATCTTTAATTGTCCCAAATCGCTGCATGTTGAAAATATTTTTAATTTTATTTAAAAATACACTTTTAATAAGCTTAAATGATAAAACTTGTGAATTTTTGTGACAATTATTTGACAGATGATTCAAAAACCAATTTTATATGCAATTGTTACTACGGTAACGATCGCATCAACAGAAAATTTATCCGATTTTTTTATCCAGTTATATTTTCTCTTCCTTCCTATTTATCCGCTAGCAAACTACGATTTTTGACATTTCAAATGGGATTATTTATACATGAGTGGAATTGTCCTTCAAAAAACCATGCTGGCACTGGTTAAAAATGTTCCCTTCCTTCAGAAAATTAATTAATCTATTACTCATTGCCATTTCAAAGATTTTTGAAAAACTGGGCAACAAACTTATAGGCCTATAACTGTCCAGATCTTTAGGGTTTCCTTTTTTATACAACGGCTTGATAAGTGCAATCTTCAAATTATCAGGGAATATTCCAAATTCAAATGAGTTATTAATTATATATGACAGTATATTTCCCAATACCGGAGCTACCTGTTTTACAATACTGGTCGGGATCTCGTCTACTCCACTACTGTGTTTATTTTTTAATTTTTTTGACATTTCAACAATTTCATTAAGTAGCACTGGCCTTAAAAACATAGATTCAACATTTTCTTTTATCTCACAGCTAAACGGGATATAGGTTAATTTTTTTAGGAGCTCTGGAATGACTGATAGTAGGTGCTTGTTATATTCATTGGCATTACATTCAGAGTTTCCCTCGATTTTTATTTCTGAATCAGTTGACTCTTTTCCTGACAATTCCTTGCAGATGGTCCACATGCATTTCGTTTTATTATCTGAGTTTCTTACTTTCTTTTCAAATTCTTCAGTTCGTAATGATATTAGCATTTTATCATATATTTTTTTCTGTTTATTATATAAAAACTTATGGTGTTGGTTATTTCTAGAAAGCATTAATAAGATGTCTAGCCGACCTTTACATTCTAAGATCTCTGTATTGGTATGTACATTTATTTGGGGTTTCTTTGATTTTTTGCTGACTAATTTTCGAGGAAAACTTTGATTGAATAGGCCTTTTACAATATTCATAAAAAGATTCCACTGTTGATTCACATCCTCTCTTTCACTGTCATATATACCTAACCAATTTTGTTCTTCTAGGCTACTTACAAAACTTTGTTTATTTTCTGTATTAAAACACCTTCTGTATTTTGGAAAGGATTTCGATATTTTGTTTATTTCAAAGACAATCTTTTGTGCCGTGT